TCATATACATGAATATTGTAGTAGTATATGTTCTGTCCAATGGTAAAAAAACACTCGATCTCCATCACTAACCAAGTGGAATTAATGGCATCATGTATTACACATGCCTGTATATAATACAGTAAACAAAGGCACAAAAAGCTGATCTTGCGTGTATATATATATATATATATATATATATGTATGTATATACATGTACATCCATCATAGTAGTACGTAGTTGTTGATCTGTTTATCCATGTAATGGTAGACCCCCCAAAATTACAAAAGGAATTATTTGATGAAAAAAAAAGTTGACACCATCAACCCCACATGCCTTATAAATTTCGTCCTTGCCATCCATTCAATATCATCTTATATATATATATATATACCCATGCAACTAGTTCCTTGTACACTTTCATCTCATCTTCTTACCTATTATACATCATATATTACATACAATTATTATCATCCCTTTTTCTACATTTCTTTATTTATATTTTACTGTAAAAAGACAGTTTATTTGTCAAAATGGCATAAGGGTAAGGCTGGCTCTGCAAATATGTATGTAGATATACACACACACACACACACACATATATATATATATATATATTTGTTGCAAGAATCAAATTGAGCAGGATGGTGGGTGCGTATGTTTCATTTGAATATTTGCTTAAAATAAGATAGGGAATGTCTCATATTTACATAAAAATATTATAGGTAGAATCAAGACCCAACATCAATCTGACAAAGGATATGACCACTGATTTAATTCTGTTAACTTTGTCTAAGCTTATTAATTTACTTTTTAGGAGAAATATATAATCATTAAGTCAGGTTGGACATACATTATCAATATGATTATATTCATCACTATTATAATGTTTTGAACTCATATATTAAAATAGATAGGAATGTATTTTCAAATATGTATATATATTTTATTCTTTCCTCCTAGCTGATTGCTTTCCGCAGAACAAGAAAACAAAAAAAATAGAGAAGAAAGAAAAAACCAAGAAGATCTTGAAGAGAATCTATATATATATATATATATATATACCATCCATATGGCTAGCTCCATATGTGTGTGTGTGTGTGTGTGTATAGAGAGAGAGAGAGAGATGAAATCAAAGCGAAGAAAACACAGATCAACTGGGTTATCAGCAGGGTCTGCAAATTAATACACTATTAAGAAACCTAACTTATATAATAATGAAGTGAAGAAGCAAAAAGAAGAAGAAAGGAAAAAAGAAAAAGAAAAAGAACATGGCTTTCATGATCAAGCAGTAGTGTATATATATATATATATATCTATATCTAGTTGTCATGAGCCATGAAAGTGAGGCAATTAGGGAAACTAAACGTTTAATTTGTGTACCAGATGTTTTCACTGATCAATACTGCATGTCTCATTATCTTGCTCAATCTCAGAAGCTGGGTCATCTTCTTCCTGATGACCAAAACAGTGGATGCCATGAGCAGCATGGCCATTTCCAAAAGCCTTGATATGATCCTTAAGCGACCTCTTATGCTTAAAATCAGAACCGCAAATGCAGTACCAAAGCTTCCCACAATTCTTCTCGTGCGTTCTCCAATCACCTCTCACCGCAAAATTCTTGCCGCATTTTCTGCACATGAAAGGCTTAATCCCGTGCTTTCTCTTGTAATGTGTTTGCAGAGTTCTGAAATCTTTCAGCGGCTTCGCCCGCGGATGATCGATGTTGTTCCGGCAACCCGGCGCACAGCAGTAACATGGCAATCTTAGCATCGCTGTTGGTTGTGTTCCTCGCAACGATTCTGGCCCTTTTCTGTACTGTGATCCATGTCCCCACATATGCATCTGTAATTAGGTCATACAAAAATACTAATCATATTAGTAACGAGAAAACAGCATAACTGGAACTATAATTTGAGGAAGGAACAAATTCTATGTACATACACATATAAGCAAGATTAATGCAGTTAGTTTGAATCTGATTGATGAAAATTTCACTTGTGTTTGGTTTGATTTGCATGCTTTATAATAATGACATGCTTTAGTTTTTCTTAATTTTCAGTAATTCTAAATGGGTACTGATGATCAACCATTTAAAGCTTTTGACTGGGGAGAAACGATCACCATTAGTCTGGTTGTGTATGGAAGCTTTTGACAGGAATTTTAGATTTTCTAGATCAAGAACCATTAAGCAAGTGGATGAACCCAACTTATATGTATATGTACGTATATGCGCTTCATATAGATAAAAAGGAATTACTTCTTTTCTTCCCTAATAAGATGGTGATATATATATATATATGTATGTATGCATGTATATGTGTCTGTTATATATGTATGTCGTCTCTGTCTATGACCTGTAAAACAAAGAAAAGGAGACAAAGTGGAAGGTTGAATAAAGAACACTTCTAAAGAGCAAAATTGATGAGCTTTATGAGCACTATACACACATTTTACTCATCAAATACAACATAAATATACATTATATATATATATATATTTTCATGGAAGAAGCAGGAAATTGACCATGCTATAAGTTCATGTTTTATTGTTGTGCAGGTTGAGTATTCAGGTTGAGAGAAAATTTGACTTATGATGAATTTGATCAGAGCCCCTGGGGGTCAGTTTCATACAGCTGCAATTAATGTTTTTACAACACAAACTTCAAGATACAAAAAGCATAAGATTTGTGATGTTCAATCACATAAAGATCAGAGAGAGATCATATGGATCTTATTTGTAGTTGGACTGACCAGCAGGTACTAAAGACTTTATTTATTATTATTCATCATGAGATTTTTAAAATCCCAAAACCCAGCTGAGATCATGCAAAAAGAAAGTAGATTATATCTATATAAATTGTAGAGGGAAATCACAAATATTTGAAAGTGCCAAAAGGAAAATAAAAAAGAGAAAGATATGCGAAATAAAGTTGGAATAAAGATAAAAAAAGATTAAAAAAAAAAACCCTAAGGACCCTCTACCTCCAATTTCTGTCTTTCTTATAGAAAGAAAAGTGGAAGTTTGAAATCAAGCAAGGAAAGGAATGTGCATTATTACAGAGGATATATAAAGAACATGGGGGTTTATTTATATATATATTTCCATTCAATAGTTTCCTGTATAAATTAAAAGGGAAAAAAGAAGAAGAGAAAGGATAAAAGAGGAAAAGGAAAAGCTTTTCACAGATCAATACACTACTATATACATACATAAATATAATATATATAATATATATATACCTGCATGTTGTTGTATCTGTTGAAGGTCTTGAAGCAAAGAGGACAAGAGAACTGGGTAGGACCGATCAGAATCTGGGTAGGCGTAGGGATCCAATACTGACCCTTGTTGAGTTTTCCTGGCAAAAACCCAGAAGAATTTGAAGAAGCTGCAACAGTACTAACTTGATCTTGGTCTTGATCTTCATCTTTCTCCGTGATCTCTGTAGAGGAAAACCCTGAAATCAAATCAGGACTGGGGAGCCCTAAATGCAGAGCAACTGTAACACTCTCATGATCACCGTCATCAATATCTACAGAAGCAGCCGCACTGTCTTCTTTATCCTTGCTTATATTCTTGTAGTCGTCGACTTCCATGGTAGAGGAGGAGAACTCCTGTTCGTGATCGTGCCTTACTGGGCTGGAACTGAGAAGAGGAAGGGCTTCCAAGAGAGGAGGAGAAGGAGGTGATATTGAGGAGGACGATGGTATGTGACAGTAGTGATGAGTTATACTACTGTTGATGTTAGCTGATAAGATATTATTGCAGGGATGATAAGGAGCAGTGAAGTTGAAGGAAGGAGGATTTGAGGAAGAGAAATGGTGGTGTAGAGAATTGAGGTTAAAGGTCCATCCATGGAAGTAATTGGAGTAGGGATATTGATCAGACATGAGGGAAAGGAAGAGGGGAGGAACAGTAGTGTGTTTGGCTAGATGGGAAAATTATGAGAGAGAGAGAGAGAGAGAAAGGGAAATAAAGGTGATGATGAGGGAAAAGGGAAGAAGAAGAATAAGTGGAAGGAGATGACTGAACAAAATCACCAAAATGAAAAAAGAGAAAGTATATAAGATGGGGGGAGGGTGAGGATGAAGAAGATGAAGTAAAGAGAGTAAAAAGGGAGAGACAAGATATCACTTGTGAGGTGTGACTAAACAATACATAAATCAATATGCCAAAGCAATCCAGGGGTGGTGGGACAGATACACACACGCATATATATATTTATATATGATGTATACATCCATATATAGAGAGAGAAAGGGAGAGGGAGAAGAAATACTAGAGAAAAAAGTAGGAGAGAAGAGAGAGAGAAGGAGGTGATGATCTTGGGACTTGAAAGAACAAGTAACTCATTGAACAGTGTGTGAAAAGATTAGATCAAGATTCAAGAAAACCCAAAAAATAAAAATAAAAATTTACACAACGTAAGAATCATATAAATTACAAATCAATTAATAAAGGTTGATACAATTTTTGTTCTGGGTCATGTACATTATTTAAAAAGGTCATGACTTAATCTTTTTCTTTTTTTTTTTCTCCTTAAAAAAGAATTTGCATGAGAACTTAATTAATTAATTACAAAAAGTGTGAAAGACAAAGTATGTAATCAGGGTTGGAGGTTTGTCTGAGTCGCATTCACACAGAGAAGATCTGAAGAAGAAGAAGAAGAAGAAGCAGAAGAAGAAGAATAAGATGGAAGATGATTCTTGGGAAGCAAATAGTTTGATTTGAAGGCAGCAAGCAGTTGCTTTGGTGGGCGGGCCCTGGTCGGCCTCGCTCCGTACCGGCTGCCAAACTGTCCCCCCCAAATCCTCTTTCTAATTTTTACCTCCCAATTCCAACAATTTCTTTTACTTCATTTTTTTATCCTTCACATAATTTTTCACCATTTATATTCTGAAAACTATATATATTACCAAATATTAAAGAAAAATTAATCCCAACTAGAAAAAGATTTGGATATTTCTACCAGTCGTGAATAGTACATACATACATATACACACACACATATATATATATATACACGTAGAAGAAAACAAATTTTATAAATATGTAACAAGAAAATGGTAAGAATTTCCTGCCAGCTTTGACGCATGTATGGCTATAGGATTTGGTTTCAATAATTTTCTCTAGTACTATGACTCAGCACAGAGTACATACCACTATGAGTGTAATTAGGAGGTTCGTTAATACTGCTCCAGTTTTAGTTATCTGCTTAATTACTTACGATTTCTGGCTAATTTTTTTTGCCCTTTTTGGAAATATTGTTATCTTTAAGAATGAACAGAAAGCATACTCTTTCATAAATTATCAAAGATTTTACTCTTATCTTATATATTAATTTTTATAAATTTGACTGCGGTAACTTTTTTTTTTTCTTATCCCTATATTGAGTTTGACAATCTGTAAAAGAAAAAGTGAAAAAACAATTAATTAGAGAGGGGAAAAGTACATGGAAACATAAAGAAACCCAGAAAGATTGATGCAACTGGTGGTAAGGATCATGGTTACCCACATCACTTTCTACTGGTACACACACACACACACACACACATATATATATATATATATATATATAGACAATTAGTGCGTACACCTATATATATAAATGCTAGCTATCAACAAAAGAAACAAGCAAGGACGACAAGAGGAAAGAACCAGAGAGAAAGAAAGAGATCCATAGCATGGATTTAGGAGCACTCACATGGAAATTCCTTTATATTATGTGTGTTTATATATTCGTGTGTGTGTATACATATATATTTGCGTGGGCAAGAGCAGAGCGACACATTAATTTTTAATGGAAAATAACGACTTATAGAGATATGTAATTTGTCGATAATACATTAAATTTGAAGATAATATATTAAATACATGTGTACGATGTGGTAAATAGTCAGCACATGCATGCATGGGATTAAACTTTTCAGCGAAAGGATTACATGCATAATTACATTTTATGAATCTTTAAACGAGGAATGTGAGTGTGAAGTCCCTTTCATATTCATTATAAGTAATCAACATATACATATACATATATTATGATATACATAATACACCTATTTATTATAATATATAGTGATGTTTCCAAGAGAGCACGAGGGTGTAATACTGGAATTTCAATTTTTTTTTTTTTTTGTTTTGTTTTGGATATTCTCCATGTTAATGTCTTGATAAGAGATTAGCAAACATTTGCCTCTATCTACGACAAACCCATTGCATTAATATTTAGTTCTTGTTTCTTCCTTAATTAATTTTCAAATGCATATTTTAAATTATAATTTTTTTTAGAGATCAAAATATCTAATATATATATATATATACATATATATAGAGAGATATATATAGCTTACATTTACTTTGGATTGCTACCATGCGGTATTATGTAAACCTAAATTATAAATTCACACACTATTATACTTGGGTCATACCAATTTTGAAGTCCTAAACTTGAGATATAATCTTTTACTATACGAAAATTTTTGTAGGGTTCATAATATTTGCACACCAAATTTTTATGTGCTAAGATTATGATATGTTTGGTATATAAAAAATATATTTTTATTCCTAAAATCGTATAAAATTCAGAGAAAACTAGTATAAATAATGATGAATTTAAAAAATTTTAAGTTCTATTTTGTAAATAAAAACACTTTTTTTTTTTTTACTTTCATTGTCTAAATTATGTATTATAAATTACCATAATAATCTAAATCTCTCTTGATTTTATTGTTGTATTCAAATTAATTGAAAATAATAATTGATATAATTTATGGTCACAACCGAGTCTCATCCCTACACAGACTGAACCCGGCCCAACCCGGCCCACGAGCATATTGAATGGAGGAAAAAGAAAACAAAAACAGTTAATTAAGATGCTTAGATTTGGGTGCCACTGCAACTGCCCTGCACGCAGTCGGCGGTCTGACCCCAACCACCGCTTCCTTGTGCTCCCACCGGCGACTTCAGCGCCCACTTGCTCCCCCTGACTTCCACTCGTAGTTATTGGTTCATTCTATGAAATCCACAATATTCCATCCCCTAATAATATCATATTTATAGTTTTCTAAACTTCAATATATTTCTTCCCAACATAATCTTAGATGACATCTACATATGTTAACTAACATTCTTACGAGACGAGATAGAATTGGTATAACCAAAATGATTCAGCATTGAAGTACAACCTAACAACAGTCCTTCATCATATCATAATCTAGAGAGGGCAAAAAAACCCATCTTACTAAGAAAGAAGCAGCATAAATGATCACTTGATTAGGATATTATTAAAGATCAGAACTTTAAGTAAAAAAAGAAGCACAAAAAATTGTTTTATCAGAAATAATTTCCAAATAGTATAAAACTAATGTGATGGAAGGAAGAAAAAAAAAAAGAAAAAAAGAAAAAACCTCTTTTAGTTCCTGTGACCAACACCAAAGTGAAACCTTGTCATGCGCCTGTCATTAAATGCATATTCAAGGCGCAAAGGCCCCAAAGGCGAGTCCACACGGATGCCAAACCCACATCCATATCCACTTCCAGGCTTCAGCCTTGCCCCAGCAGGGTCACCTGATATAGAAAAGCCAATTTAAACCAAGTAAAGAAAAACAAAGCTGCACATCTTGAACAGAGTCAAGAGACCATACATGCACATCTTGATCAGCAATTTGAGTGAGCTAAATCATGCAGTTGTTCAAAAGAATATATATATATATATATATAGAGAGAGAGAGAGATCGATCTTCTAAAGGGCATCTAAATGATCAGTTACAGGTGCAGCCTACAAGTAGCCATGCAAAAGAAACAATGTTCTTTCGCCAATGATTGAATGAACAAAAAGAGGAACATAAAACTAAACTTCTTGTTTCTGGATTGACTACCGATAGATCCACTTGATAGTATACTGCCTATATGAAATGGGAAGGTAAAAATGAGGACAGGAGAAGAAAAATTCTGTGCAAATTAAAGATGAAAGGCATACCAGGCACGGTAGAGCCTGATCCAAGATCAGCTCCATAATCAGCAAAAACAACCCCTTCAACTGGCCCATGCTGCAAAAAACAGAATATTACATATCAATAAAATGCTTACATAATAAGACACAAGATGCCCTTAGAATGGTACATGCATGATGATCTTTATGGACCAAAAACAATCATAACTACATACCACAGGAAAAGAAATTTCACCAGAGCCAACCACATAGGATCGACCAGATCCCACTGCGCCTTCTTCGTAACCTCTAACACTGTTTGTTCCACCAATGGCAAACGCTTCATGGGGAGAAAAGTTCCCCACCACATGACCACCAGATAAACTAGCAATGGTAACCAAAGTCAGCAAACTAAGTCAGCTAGCGCACCAGAGAAGATTCTTTGTTAAGGAAGGAAAAGATGAAATGTCCCCTTCTTTCTCTTCTCTTAGACCAGGAGATTAATATATCATGCAATACCTTAGTAGAAGGCGAGCAGGGCCAATTTCTACACCTTTCCTAGCACGGGCATTAACTCTACTGAAAAACAGCCATTCAGGCAAGACAGGAAGCCCTTGTTCCATGTTAAGTACAAACTGTAAAAACAAAATAAATTATGCTCCATATGCAACATAAACTATAAACATTGAATAGATTGTGGATACTAACCATTGAGGAGCCATGATCACCAGCACCAGTATAGACACTCTCAAATTTGGCCAGTAATGTATCATCATGAGTTTTACCACTATACATCCAAAAGATTATTCAAAAAGTAGATCAGAAGCATTGGAATTAAGGGGTATGAAATAAAAAAGATTAATGTATGGTAAATGAACAATAAAAGTTTGTTTACATGCAAACAAACATAAATGAATCATTTCAAAGTTCTGGGGAAAAAAACCTTGCTGTGAGAGGGCTGCTGTAGAAGTCCTTAATAATAGGAGTTCCTTTTTCATCACGAGCACCAGCATGCTGTGGATTAGAATCAATTAATGGAAGCAATACCACAAAGAAAATGAGACTGAATAGCAAAATATCGTGCATTATATGGAATATTCCACTTTTTATGCTCATGCTAAATCATGGAAAGCTATGTCAAACACAACTCTCAATACAGATCATATTAAACTCGCCCTCCTTTAACCCAAAAACCCAGTTAAAAGAAGTGGAAATTCATCATAATACCTGAAAAATAAGCCCAGCTGTTCCACTCCACTTTGGCCTGATTGGCCGACTAAACTCTATACCAGCTGTCACACGACCAATTGTCAGACTACTATTATCTGGTTGGTTACCATGAACAAGAGTTCCAGGAGTCCTTGAATTCTGATGCAAAATAGAATTGGTTTGTCCAATACTCAGATTCTCATCATTGGATGTTCACAGTGAAGAGTATTTTAGAAAACTAACACTTGTAATACCTGAACCATAATAGTTCTAGATGTTCGCTTGTCGTCTCCCTCAATCCATGGGTCTGTGTAGTTTACGCGGAAAATAGAATCTATCTGGCCCCTCTCTAAGGAAATATTAAGTTTCTGGTTTCTTCCAAAAACATTCCTATGAGAGTATGCAAAGCTGCACATAGAAATATAGGTTAGCATGAGGTTTGGGCACGTTAATTCACTATCAACTGAATATAGCAAAAGGCAACTTGATGAAGCACATATTATGGCAAATGCAGCAATTAGACAGTTTAGCATGTCATTTTACCTTCCAATGAGTCCCGATAGAGGGCCACTTGTTATCCTAGAAAGCAGAAAATCAGCATATGAATACTTATCCAGATATATCACAGGGAATACAATACAAATACTGTATATTAATACCACTTACCCACTTGATATGCCACCACCAGCAGAAAAACCTCCACTTGGACGTTCGACAACATTCATTATCAAGTCAACCTTACCAGTATCTAACCATTGCCAGGAAGAAAATGAATAAGTTTATTTTCAGGTAAACATAATAGCACAAATGAGATAAAAGATAAATAACAAAAAAAGGATGCATAACGGGCCATGGTTTTAATCCTCATTATATTTTTATTATAGCCTTTTTTTCTTATGCAAATTAAAAATAACAACATTATCTCACCTCCGGCAGGTTGAGGAATAATGCTAACATCTTCCATTATTCCCATAGTTAATACAGTATCTACATCTCTTTTCCCTTGAAGCATGCTGTACACCTACATGTATGGAAATCCAAGTTAGGATGTAGTTAAACTAACATTTTTAAATGGCCCACTATGAAGCCATAATTGATGCTAAAGAATGAATATATCATTTCAGTGTCATGTACGGTAACGACTGAGTCCTGATGTTGATAACAGATGGAAATAGAAAAAAACTATTCAATATTCTAATTAATATATACGTAAGTACATATACATATACATATATATACGCTGACATCTCCATCTAAGTGTAGAGAGTCAACATCATCAAGCCTATTACATTTCATAATGAGAATCATCTCCTCCTCAAGACTCAAGCCTATTATTGTCTAAGCAAGAATGCTGGATTACAAAACTACCTGCCCCTTCTTGGTTGTAAGTTGCCTAAGTATGGTTTCTGGCTTTGTCTTCCCTTTAGTTGGTTCACCACTGAAATGAGCAGCGACTTCTGTTAGTAGTGAAATCCTTTAATTTTAATGTTGTAAGAAATACTGAATATGTACTTCTTCCACTTAATACTAGAATACATGTGCATTGATAGAGCAGAAATTGAAGGTTCTTACGTCTTCCGATCAAGGAAACGAATGGAGATATTATTGACCTCAGCTTCTGCAACTTGAAGCCTTATTATACCTCCAGAAAGAATCTCAATCCCTGAAACCTATGATAATGGCCACCAAAAGTAGCCATAAAAAACAACATGTCATAAAGCAAGACCAACTTAAGGTCCTGAATCAAGAAACTATTCAACCTTTACTTGCAAAATAAAGCAACCATTATGTAATAAGTACTAACCAAGCCAAAAAGCCCCCGATCCATGTACCAACCATTGATTGATGATATTACTTCGTCCAAACGCCTAAGATTTACCACTTTTCCTGCACAGCTTGACACCGAAATTATAAAACATGAAGGTGTCCTATAAATAGTCTTCAACAGACCAAAGTAGATAATCATATACCACAGGCTATACCTACAGATCAGTGCATAAAAATGCATAAGAAAAAAAGGGACAACCTACCATATCCATCACGAAAAGAATCCTCTAGAAACTTTGTAGGAAGAACATTAGCACCTTCACAGACCAAACCATGGAACTCCTGATTTGGTTCTACCTTATACCAAGAATTATTATCAACAATTAATATCAACCAACTTACGGAAAAAACATGGGAAGGAATTTCTCACAGACTACCAACAGTTCCGTGCAATAAAATTCTTCACTTCACTGTTTATACTAAGCATAATCAACTCTTCTAACAACACACTAAGATTATGCCCGAAAAACGAATCGAGATTATACCTGAAAAACCAATCTAATACCATCACGGGTATCAACGGCAACTGGCATACACGAGCAGAAGTATCCACTATCAATGATCCTATGCACATCTTCTTGTACCTCGCGGACAGTGAGCGCTGAATTGGCTCGGGAAGCCTTCAAAGCAGCCAGTGCCTCCATCTCTAAGTCCTTTCTCTCAAGCTCCTCCCCATCTTTGTTCCTAACCAAGACCTCGCTTATCAGCACTCTCTCTTCATCGTGTCGACTAACAGAGTGACCCTTTTGTTGCTGCGTTTCCCTCAAGTCCGACCCAGATTGAGTCAAATCGATGGGTTGACTTAATGACAGGGACGCGGAGCAGAGCAAAGAAGATTTCCCGACCGGTACTCTTTCTTCAGAGCAAGAACTACACTCGAACGGAGGTGGCTCGTTGTGACGGGCTAAGGACAATGATGCTGAGCAGAGGAGAGACGACCTGCCGACGAGCAACCCCGTGGCTGAATGGAGCTTCTGAGCATAGAAGGAACACAGGTTGGAGTTCCCGGAGCGAGTTCCGAACGAGCCCACGAGCCGACTAAGCGAGTGGCGGGCGCCCAAGAGTTTCGACGTTATGGCCTTTGAGCAAAACTGTAGGTTGTTGAAGAGAGGATAATGTGGAGAAGAGAGAGGGATCTTGATAGTAGAAGATGAAAAGCGGATATCATCGTTCTTGCGCATCGTGGAATTTGAGAAGAAATGCGCTTTTCCTATAACTGAAGAATGGTGGTGATTCGGGGAACACAACAGAACCAGTGAAGTAAAATTAACAGTAAATCAAGAAAACCCCTAACTGCAGTAGCAAAGCAGAGAATTTTGCTTGCTTGGAGATTTCATTTTTCAGGAGGAGGAAGAAGAAAAGATAAACCCTAACAAAATGGTGGCAACCATATTTACCGCAGCTCTTGTTTGACAGTGAAACCATAAAAGCCGTTTGAGAATGGCAAATGACCGGGGGCGTCATACCCGGTACAAATTAAAAAATTAGCTAAATTAATTAGTTTATAATATGCTTATAATAAATTAATTATTGTTAATAATTTTTTAATCTCAATTATAATAAAACTATTCAATTAAGTGTAATTTAAAATGACATAAAATTTATGGATAAAATACTGTCTAATCTTTTGCCAATTCCTTATTATGGTTTTATAATTTTTATTTTAACTAATATTATTAATTTTTAGATTATATTTGCACATGTTTATGGTTATAAAATATATTCTGATTAAAAATTATTTTTATTTTATAAATTCTTCACAAATAGCGAGCGTTTAGTAAAAAAGTATCTATAAACTAAAATATTAATTTTTAAATAATTGATAAATAAAAATTTAATAATTTTTTAAAAGATATTTAATAAAAATTATATGATTTATAAAAAATAAATAAATATTTTAAAAGTTTTCATAAATAATAATGACTTATAAATTAGGTTTTAACGCCGTTAAATTTCACTGCGTGCCAAATTCGCCTCTTTGTTGTTGCCGAGGACGGGAACATAGAGATGAGAAAGCAGCTTCTGCAAATTAATTATAATAATTTATTAAATATAAATATAATTAATTTATTCTAAAATTTTTTAAAAATTATAACATAGATATTTTATTACAGATAATAATTTATAAATATTATTTTAAAAATTTATAAGTTTTTTTTTTAATTTTTTTATATTTTATATACTGTAGAGAAGCGGTTGAGTTTGTATAATATGGTGGGAAAATCAAATACTTAAGACGTTAGCATTCAAAAATTCAAAAGACGACTCGAGCCGCCTCTTAAAACGACAAACCCCGCTCGCCAAGTGGTCTCTCTCTAGCCTTCACGGTTTAAACCCTGTTTTCCTCTCATCTTCTCTATCTCGACCAACGGAAAATGCCCTAGGAGACTTTTCACGAACCCTAATTCCTCGCCGTATCTTTTCTCTTTGTCCAAGACGTAGCCTTCATCTGCTTCTCTCCCTCGATTGACTCTTCCAGCGTTTTACGACGCGGGAAAGGTTTGGCCTCCTTCTCCTGTCTTTGATTGATATACGCGCGTTCATGTTGATATACACGTGCTTATATTTATTTCGATACGTGCACGTTCGTCTTTTGTGGAATTCAAGTTTGGAGTACGAATGGATTGGATTGGGTTATTTCACTATTTGGAAATTGAATGCTGATTATAGGGCTTTTCACAATAATGTCAGTATTGTATTATATTGGTTGGTTTTGCGTTTCAGATTGTATATTTTTGGAAATTAGGTTTGGTTGAGAAAGTGAGGTCGCAGTCAAGGGTTGCCGTTATCGGCTTTGCTTCCTTTGTTTTAAGTTTTGCTTTATAATTTGAATTCTAAAGCTTTGATTGAATTAAACCTTATGGTTTTACTAAATTAAAGATTTAACTATTAGTTTTATTTGATGGTTTCTCCTGATGTTAAATGCTGAAACTATGAGTAATCCGAAATGCAACATAGTTCATTTCGTTGCTTGTTGGGGAGCTGAAGAAAAATGACTCATTCTACTGATTCCATCTGCCATTTACACATCTTAGTGGATTTTATCTCACTGTTCTGTAGGATACTGGAATTGCTGAAAATATCTTTTTGGGACAGGAAGATGGAAGTCAATGATAATGAGATAGATGATCTCAATGCACCTCTCTTGCAACTTGAGGATAGCGTCACCATCACTATCTCTGAACCAGTTCAAACCATACACAAGAAAAATAGGAGGGTTGTGTTTAAAATAAGGAATATCAAGTGTGCGTCATGTGTGGTGTCCATAGAATCTGTCCTCAAAAATCTTAATGGCGTTGAGGATGTTACTGTATCACCAATTGATGGCCAGGCCGCAATCCAATATAATCCTCTGCTCATTTCGGTAAGTTAACCTTCAGATTGTTAAGAATCTTTGGGAGTTTATAAAGGAAAAATACAAGCTTCTAGATTGCTATACTACAACGTGTTTATGTCACCTTTGTCTTCTTTTTCAACATAACGAAGTATCACATAATTTATCTTTCTGATTAACTTTTTCTTATTTATACGCAATTAAATATATCCTAACCTATGTTTTGATTTTATTTTACAGTAAATATCTTTGTCTGAGAGAAAAGAGAACGGTTATTTTATATTCAATATGGATAATAAGGAGATAGATAATGGAAGTCTTTGGAAAAGGTTCTACTTTCTGGGGACAGATAGATACAGATATTAGTTATCTCCATCTCTCTCTGTCTGCAGGTTTGTTTGTGTACATTGATGTTCATGCCCGTCCTTGAACAGATTCAAAAATTAAAGCACGCTATATAAAATGGAATTTTGCTGACTAACATAACTGAGAGCTCTTCAATTGTTTTCCATTGATACCTAAATGCTTCTTGACAACTTGATTTATTATAGAATTACTTCTTCAAAAGGTAAAACTATTTGCTAAAAAATATTTCCTTAGACACTAGAAATAATAAAATATTAATTTTGCTTCAGGCAAAAAAAATTAAGGAAGCAGTTGAAGAAGCAGGTTATCCTGTTGACAAATTTCCAGATCAAGAAATAGCAGCGTGCCGGTTGAGGATCAAAGGAATGTCTTGTACCAGCTGTTCTGAGTCTGTGGAGAATGTCCTTAAAATGGTTGGTGGAGTGAAAAAAGCAGTGGTTGGTCTATCTCTTCAAGAAGCTAAAATTTTCTATGATCCAGAACTTACCAATACTGATAGGCTTAAGGAAGCAATAGAAGATGCTGGTTTTGGGGCAGATCTCATTAGTTCTGGGGATGATGCAAACAAAACACACCTTAGACTAGCAGGTGTTACTTCTGAAGAAGACGTGTCCATAATTCAATCCTCCCTCGAGTCAGCTGTAGGAGTGAGTCATGTTGAAGTAGATGCGGCAGAAAATAAGGTCACTGTGACCTATGATCCAGATATCACAGGTCCCAGATCTCTTATACTCTGCATCCAAGAAGCTGGCCATGGAACTAAGTGTTACGAGGCAAGCTTATACATTCCTCCAAGACAAAGAGAAACAGAGCAGCAGCACGAAGTTCAAATGTATAGAAATCAGTTCCTTTTGAGTTGCCTATTCTCAGTTCCAGTGTTTTTATTGTCTATGGTATTTCCAATGCTTCATCCTTTTGGGAACTGGATAGAGTTCAAGATTTACAAAATGCTTACTATTGGAACACTTCTTAGATGGATTCTTTGCACGCCAGTTCAGTTCATTATTGGTAGAAGGTAACAACAAATAAGCACCAGTTTCCTCTCTTTTTTATGATTAGTTTCTCATTATTGCTGCTCCTTATGTTGCCACAGTGTCAGCATCTCTGTTTCTGAGAGGCAGCAGTTATCTTTTCTGTATCTCAATAATCACTTGTTTCAGATGTCTTTATTAGGTTTTATGTGGGAGCATACCATGTATTGAGATTAAGATCTGCCAATATGGATGTTCTAGTTGCTCTTGGAACAAATGCTGCTTATTTTTATTCTGCATTTATTGCAATTAAAGCTATGACTTCCGACACATTTGAAGGGCAAGATTTCTTTGAGACGAGTGCTATGTTAATATCCTTTATTCTTCTGGGAAAATATTTGGAAGTTGTGGCTAAGGGAAAAACCTCAAATGCTTTAGCTAAGTTGATTGATCTTGCTCCTGATAAAGCTCATCTATTATCAGTTGATGATGATGGTCATGTTAATTCAGAGATGGAAATAAGCACTCAGCTGCTACAAAGAGGTGACAAAATTAAAATTTTTCCTGGTGAGAAAGTTCCGGTCGATGGGATTGTTACAGATGGTCAAAGCTATGTCAATGAAAGCATGATCACAGGAGAGGCCAAGCCTGTTTCTAAAAAAACAGGTGACAAGGTAACATCCCCTTGTTTTTTCCAGGTCGAGGGGAGAAAAGCTCACTTTTTTATTTTGACATTTAGAAAGTATAAACAGATTTATATATTCTTTAATCTTATGAATAGGTAATTGGGGGGACAGTGAACGAAAATGGTCTTTTAATAGTCAAGGCCGCTAATGTTGGGTCCGAGACTACACTTTCCCAAATTGTTCAACTTGTGGAGGCTGCTCAACTTGCTAGAGCACCTGTCCAGAAAGTAGCTGACACAATTTCAAAGTTTTTTGTTCCTGCAGTAAGTTGTTCTTTAGTTAAATTTTGTCAGCATTGTACTTTCGAATCTTGCCATATTTTTTAATAAAATGATCACCTTAGCTTTCTGTGCTAGCTATTTTTGTACTTGAATGTTTTTCTATTCTATTGTAAATTGAAATTCATTAGAATGTTTCTGGAAGCTGTAATATAAGCACTTTAGAACATGCAATCAGCAGCATGATTCTTCATTAATGTTCTACATTATTCTGTCCTCTTGTAATGTCTAATTTACTCTACAATCATTTTGTTCTTGCATTTACACCAGGTTGTCCTTGCTGCATTAGTTACTTGGTTGGGATGGTTTGTCCCTGGAATTGCTGGAATTTACCCTAAACAATGGATACCAAAGTCTATGAACGAATTTGAACTAGCATTGCAATTCAGTATTTCAGTGCTAGTAGTTGCTTGCCCTTGTGCTTTGGGACTAGCAACACCTACTGCGGTCATGGTTGCTACGGGAAAGGGTGCATCACTAGGAGTACTCATCAAGGGTGGAAATGGACTTGAAAAGGCCCACAAGGTAAGACCTCTGCTGTTTTCTAAGCATAATCATGGTGGATTATGCTCTTCTTGAGTTGAGACTTTGCGGAGCAATTATTTTCCTGGTGTCACTTCCAGGTTTGGTTTCTTTAGAAGAGAAGAAGCAGTTTTGCTTGTCAAGATATCAGCTAAATGTCCGATGAAAGAAGCCAGTTTTTTTATATAATGGGGTCTCCTACACAAGAAATTCCCTTTTTTTTTCTCATTCCGCTTCCTGCATATCAACATTAATCAGGAGAAAGGATGCTTCATATTTCCTTCGATAACTTCTTATATCTGTCTAAACATAATACTGGGGAGCCTCAACTACGGAGTGTATCGTAATTGGTTTTTTGACTAGAGCCTTGCTCACCCCTTAACATTTTTTTTTTCCCTTTTGGGCAAATATCACAGGTGAAAACTGTTGTATTCGATAAGACAGGAACACTAACAGTTGGAAAACCAGAGGTAGTAAGTGCCGTTCCCTTTTCGAGCATTTCACTGGAAGATTTCTGTGATGTTGCTGCTGCCGTGGAGGTAAGTTTCCTCATTTTGATTTGTATTATAATAGGAATGGTAAAGCATTCGAGGGAAGAAGGATTTCTGTGCACAAATGTTTTTCTGCACAGTAAATCTGAAGCGGGTTCAGGTATGCTTGGCAAGACATCTATAACATGAACTCAATTGTTTCTTTTCTGGATTTTGGCTGTTTGGTCTGGTGGGAAGGAAAATGTTGAAGTTTTGGAAGCAAATGATGAAGCATTTGTTTTGTCAGCACATGGTTTATATTAATGAAGCGGAATGTCCTTGAAATGAAAGAATTGCAGTTTTCATCATAAATAATGTATTATATGCACTAAAATGAGGAAAAGCAAGCAAGAATAGATTAGTTCCTAAAACTCTGGGTGGGTGATAGTTTTTTGTTTCTATTGAATGATGAGGTTAAGACTATTATAATCAACTATTCTTTTTTTATTTTTCATAAATGTGCAGGCAAATAGTGAGCATCCAATAGCAAAAGCACTGGTGGAATTTGCTAAGAAGATACGTCAGAATTTTCAGTCTAGCTCCTCTCGTGTAATGGAAGTTATGGACTTTGAAGTGCACACTGGAGCTGGGGTGAGTGGGAACGTCGGTGACAGAATTGTTTTAGTAGGGAATAAGAGGCTTATGCATTCTTTTAATGTCCCTGTCGATCCTGAGGTCGAACGCCATATTTCAGAAAATGAGCAACTGGCACGAACGTGCATGTTAGTTGCCATTGACGGAAAGGTGGCTGGAGCTTTTGCTGTTACTGATCCAGTGAAGCCAGAGGCTGAGCATGTTATATCTTATCTTCGCCTGATGGGCATCTCAAGTGTGATGGTGACAGGTGATAACTGGGCTACTGCAACTGCAATAGCAAAGGAGGTCGGGATAGAGGCAGTCTTTGCTGAGGCAGATCCATTGCAAAAGGCTGAAAGGATCAAGAGATTACAGGTAAACCTTTTTCTTCACTCGGTAAAAATATCGTTCTGATTTCGTAGGTTAGAAATTTGCCTAGAGTTGGTATCTTTGAGATCTTTAAAGGCTACTTTCGAAATAAGTTAAGAAATTTTGGAATTTAATTTGCGAATTGACAGAGGCATGTAGGAATAATGTAAATTCCATTAAAAAATAAAACCTCATAAAGTTTTATATAAAATTGGAAACAATGCAATTAAATTTATGTTGAAATTAATTCCAAGAAGAATTTGTTAACGTTGCCAGAGTGATTAAATGTGGAATTTAGTTATTGTTGCAATTTATTGTTTTAAGGTGTGAAATGGGGAATTTAACTACTCATAACCAATGTCTTTTATTTTTTAAATATCGAAAATGAAATCATATGCAGGCGAATAACACGGCTGTGGCTATGGTGGGAGACGGAATAAATGACTCGCCTGCCTTAGTTGCAGCAGATGTTGGAATAGCAATTGGCGCTGGCACTGATGTTGCAATTGAAGCAGCCGATATAGTTCTCATCAAGAGCAACTTGGAAGACGTAATCACGGCCATAGACCTCTCTAGGAAGACCATTTCCCGGATTTGGCTTAACTACGTATGGGCGCTTGGCTACAACATTTTAGGTGTACCAGTTGCAGCCGGAGTCCTGTTCCCTTTCACCGGAATCCGGTTACCACCTTGGCTTGCGGGAGCTTGCATGGCTGTTTCATCCCTCAGTGTGGTTTGCTCGTCTCTCCTGTTGCAGTCCTATAGAAAGCCTCTGCAGTTTCATGAGACTAAACAGACAACTTATTGCAACAAATGTGGGCAAAGAAGGCGGATGTTCAAACTGGTTTTCGGCTGAATTTTGTAAATGCATATTGCTAGTATGTGGCTCCAAAAGGCAGATCGTAAATAACTGAAATAAACACCCTTTCATGTTTCAGTTGTAACTCCATAAGCTGTAGAAGCACTTGCAAGTTGAGCCATTGTTTGGCAGATTTGTGCTTCTCCTTATATGTTTGAAATTTTCATTACCCAGTTGCTTAGTGGGAGTTGGAATTTAGATTAAATATTTTTTTGGTACCAAGTGAGAATAACTTATTTACGTTGGAATTAATTAAAAGATTTATGAAAAGAAATTGAATTTTGAAATTAAAAGTGAAGAGAAAATATATCACGAAATATAATATACATTGAATTGATTAAAAATATATGATAAAGTTTGTATGTATATATATATATATATATATATATATGTCTGCAAACGATTCTGATAATTAAACAAAAACAAAAAATAATAAACCGGTAAGAAAAAGTTTCCGAGGATCTAAGCATGTCTACCGTAATCTCTAGCTGCAAAAATACCCAACGAATGACCAACCAAAACTAGCCACGTGTCGTGGGAAGAGCATTGTAAGTTCGCCCTGCTCTCTCTCTCTCTCTCTCTCTCTCTCTCTCTCTCTCTCTCTCTCTCTCCATTGAGCTTGGAGACAAAATTCATGCTCTTGTTAGCAAAAATAGAAAAGGCCTCCATTTTGGTATCTCGATGATCAAAGGGTAAACTCGATTCCCTTGTTCAGTTTTCTTTCCGTCGATATATATTGATCTCTCCCGGTTTTTTTCCTCCCGAAAGATTTTAGCTTTCATTTTGCAGTTTCTCCGAGAAATTGGGGATCACTAGGAGAAGCTTATTCTAAAACCTCCCAGGTTCTTGGATTCTCAGTTTTTGCTTACTTTCTGTTTGATTATGTAGAATTTGGGAAAGAAATAAAAAAAAAATGAGATATTCGGCATCTGGTTATCTATGTTTTCTGGCTGTTTTGTTTCTAGTGTTGGTACAATCGATTGAGCTTAGTTAATCAGATACGCCAGGCTATGGGTATTTCTATTTGTGTTCATGCTGTTCATTTTTCCCGGTTGAGACTTGAAAATGCAATAAGATTTTAGCTTCCTTTATCTATTGTTGATTAAATCAGCAGCGAAATAGAGCGTTCAGTGTTTTGTAATTTTGGATTTGATGGAAGGTTCGAGTTTGGGAAGTGGGTTTTTGTCAGGGCCTAGTGGGGAATTGTTAGACTTAGAGTCATCTATCAACAGGCATCAACAAACCCAGTTGAGTCATCCTTCATTAACCCATCAGCATCAAATGAATCTGGTGGGAGGTGTTGATCAAAATGATCATCATTCTAGGCTTAGGGAAGTGAAGGGCTCAACACCAAAATGCTTCTCGATGGATTTCGGTAAAGGAAAGGTAATTAGTCCAACAAATTGCCCAAATAGTGGCAATTT